ACCCTCAACAAGATGGATTAACACAGAGGCTGCAACAATGGGCTCAAACATAGCAACGATTGTGAGGATGGCGCAAGACTGGACGGTGTTTCCTTCTGTTGTACATGGGGTCACTAGGAGTTGGAACTGACTCGATGGCACTTAACGACATAAAAACACTTATTTGTCACATCTAGAAAACCCAATTTTACATTCAGTAGTCAGAATATTAACATTTTGAAAGTAACTCATTTATGGGGTACAAATTCCACTCCTTTTTTATTATCAAAATCAGAATTCAAAAACTTATGACACAGTAGTTCACTTAAAAATGGCATTATTATGGAGCTATGGGTTCCCTAGGCAGGGTTCAGTGATAAACAACGTATCACTATGTCTTGACACATAGCTGCTTATTTCAAAGTCACAAATAAAACTTTAATTTCTCTCAGAGGACACTGTTCACCAAGATCTGGTTACCCCTCCCGATAAAGGAAACACTGCCTAAAAATGACATAGAAAAGAAGAAATTCTTTTTTTGATAGCATTGCATTGAAATTCTCATTTTCCTTAAGATAGAATTTATTCTGTTTGTACACATTGTCTTGGCAAAAGGAGTGTTTTCCTTCACAGAACACAAAAACCTTCCCTTTTATCTTTCTTCTTTCATTTCTCTCTTGAAAGTCTTGCTGTTAAGTGTGGTGTTTAATAAATAGAAATTTCTGGAAATGGACTCAGCTGATGGTGTGATTGGTTCTAAGAGCAAAAAAATACATACCTAGGAGCATTCCATCGCATTATTTTGGGGCTGACATTTCAATGAAATCATTTTCTTGTTGGTGAACAGTGTGTTATTTTTGAGGTACATGAACAGCCACAGAGTGAGCAGCCACCACCATGAACCAAAGCCCAGATCTTCAAGTGAACCATGCCAGTCTACCTTGGTAACCTCAAAGCGGGGCCCTGATTTGGTGCACAGATGGAGTCAGTCTGGGAAATGAAACCGGTCCCCTTCAACCCACCCACATGGTGGAACAAAGAAAGCAAAACAGAGTTTAATTTCTTAGCTCCTGTCTTTATATTTATCTGCAAAGACAAAGTAAATATTATGATGAGTTTCTTCTCCTCCTGAATGATTTAACACTTAAAAAGTAAACATACATATTAAATGCCAGAAGCTTAGGGTTAATTAGCTCCATGTAACAGCTGAGCACTGGCTAGTACAACCCTCTAATAAGGAGAAAAAAAGAAAATGCCAAGGAGCAAACATTTTACTTGATTTCACATTTTGAGGGTGACTCAGACTCAAATGTTTTCAGGGTCCACCTGGTTCCTTTGCTTGGCCCATCACCACTGTTCATTTTCTTTTCTTGAAGTCAATCATCACAGCTCAGCTGTCACTGTTTTATACCCTATGATCCTTTTGGACAATGTACTAAGTCACCGCAATGTCCAAAAAGTGAGAACAGAGCTCCCTTCAAATGTTGACATGCTCTAACT